CCCAAACTACCCGCGACCTGCCTGCGCATGCATCCGTCTGCGCGTGGCCCCGTGCACCACTGGCCACCTGCGCGCGTGCTGCGTGCCCATGTGCATGCATAGTGCCTGTTTGGCACCCGACTAGCATGCCTTCCATTCCTTCGGGCCACCTGGTATTTTAGCCATCCCTACCAGGTTTCACTTCTACGATAAGCATCCCAAAACCATTGACGGCACGTCCTTTTGAGTCGTGGCCTCATCCATGCTCTTCTATGCCAATGCGCGTGTTCGCGCCCTTCTTGAATGCACCCTTTCTTTCGTGTGAGCGTTGCTAGCCTCGAGACCATCTTCTTGCATGCCCTCGCGCACCTCCATGCGCGGCCCTCATTAAACGCTTCGTGCGCTCGTACATCACGTCCATGCACTTCTCGATCTAGGCCCATCCGCATACGCGCTCGTACCCGTCTATTAGGCCATGCTTGCATCGTTTTGGCCCTATTTTTAGCCTCCTTGATTCCTCTTGGCTGTCAGCCTTCTTGTCACCGGGGTCTGGAACCCACTTTCCTATCATTCCCCTCCTCTTCGAGACTTTCCTTGTCCTCAAGGATTCATCCTCGACCATCCAAACATCGGGCACTCCTTCATCGGCCACGGGCACATCCCACTCGCAGTCTCCGTCGACCTTGACATCGCCCGTTGCCTCCTCTTCATCCATAGTGTCCTTCTTATGCATCTCGTCATGGCTCTCTTCGACCACGACCATGATCTCCTCCTTGACTTCGACCTCTTCGACTCCTTCAGCCTCGCCGTCGTTGTGATTCGCGCGCTCGATCGCGCCACCAATTATCTTGACGACCTTGAGTTCCTCATCCTTTGCATAGCCCACAACATCAGACGAAAATATGGTCTCCTCGTCGAACATCCCCGCCAACTCGAACGAAAACATGGGTTCATCGTCGATCTCGATACTCTTGCGCTTGGCTTCATGCTCTTCCTCCATGATCTTGAGTTGTCTTTCATACTCCTCCTTTTGCTCGTACATCTCCTCCAAATATTCTTGCTCCCAAGGGGTTAATTCCCTCTCCAAACTTTCGAGATATTCGAGATCCTCCCAATCCAATTCAACTACTGGTTCAAACATCATGATTCTCTCTTTTTTTTAATGACTCTAAGAATAAAAATTCGAACCAAAAAATTCAAAAAACAAAGAGAAATTCGGCCCCTCAACAAAAGGTAATAACCGAACAAAAATCCAACAAGGACTAACAAGATGACACTTTTTTTTTTAAGACTCACGAAAAAAAGAAAAAATTCGAATAGAAAATTCGAAAATTTTGAACCAAAAAAGAACAAAAATTTGGCCCCCTCAGCAAAAGGCAAAACTGAAAAAAGAAAAAAGATAGATAGATAACAATACGATCAGCACCTCTCAATGAAAGCACCAATGATGACGGACCGTGTTGTTATCTATACGTGGGTTGTGAATAAATGCGCACTAGGGCCTTCGTTTATC